AAAACTATTGCACTTAGCAAAGAGTGTAGTGCAATTATTCAGAAAAAACTTCCTGAAAAATTAAAAGATCCTGATAGTTTCACTATACCATGTGCTGTCAGTGAAAATTTCTATGGAAGAGCTTTATGTGATTTCGGAGCCAGCATTAATCTTATGCCTTTATTAATATTCAAAAGATTAGGATTAGGAGAAGTCTCTTCTACTTCTGTAACTCTACAGTTAGCGAATCGATCTGTTACATATCCTAAGAATTGACAGAACTTTACAATGCACAAAATGGCAACTAGGAAGTGACATTTTAAGGTGACATTGCGCTTAACACCTGCTGCAGTTTTTATATGTATAAAAGAGTGAAGGGGCATTTCATACAAACCACATAATTCTTATTTATTTACATATTTAACACCTAAATTTTCATATTTACATGCATAACAAGCTCAAATGTTTAATATAACATCGAAAATATTACTATTACTCAACTTTTTAATGATGAAATATATATTTTCATGCATATGTTTATAACACTACTGTTATCAATCTAGATATGAAAGTTGAGGCGTTAGATACATATAAATACATAAGAATTGTGTGGTATGTATGTAACTTGAGTAAAATATGCATCAAGAAAAACAGTAGACAAAAGTATATATGCCCCAAATTCCAAATTATTATTACAAAAGTAAATATGAAAAAACCTACACTAACTTAAAAATAAAAACAAGGCCCATAAAATCACATAAAAGATAGCTGACAGAAAGCTTCATCACCTTTGCAATGCAAGATAGCTAAGTCCAATAATGCTAACAGCAAGGATCCCAAAATGCATGATAGACATAAATATATCAGCAATGATAGATTCAAGAAAAATATCACCATAAACATTTAATAATTTCGTAGATGTAATGTGTGTGAAGCTCCAATTAATACTTCTTGATAAAAAGCTAGGGATAAAATCCACATGGTTTCAACTTGCATAATATGTATTTATTAATAAACAAATAAACTCATTAAAGAGAAGTAATCCACATGGTTTCAAGGTTAATCCGGATAAATTGTGTACTTTTAACACCATCGTCAACCGTTGTTGACCACCGCCGATCACCGTCGAACACCGCCGACCGTTGTTGACCATCCCCTATCATCGTCGACCACTAGTGATCGTCGTTGGTCGCCGCTGACTGCTGTAGACACCCGCTGATTACCGTTGATCACTATCGACCACCATTGACAACCACCGATCGTAGTCAAACACTACAAATCAAACATTGTTAGTCTATATTATAATTTGAAAAATCTAGTAACTTTTTCCCGTCTGTGGTGCAAGGAATTTCTGTACTCATCAATCAATTCTGGATTTTTACAAATTAGCCAGACCCCGTGGTTTTTTCCCTTAACGAGTTTTCCACGTAAGAACTTCTAGTGTCATTACTAATTGTTTTTCTTTCATCTGAGCGTGTGTTGAATTCTCGTGCAACACTAAGACCATAATCCATTACTCCACCGCCGTGAATTTTCTAGCATGCATCAACGTGTATCTCGGCTTACTACTTTATTTAGTTAGCCTTGACATGGACATGTTTTAAGGCCTTGTGGATTAAGGCCTTGTGGTCCTATGTCCATAAATGTTTGAATTTTGTCACGCTATTCAATTGTGGGGACATCAAGAACTTCCATTTGATCAAACATGAGTGTTTTTTGCGCAATGAATGTTTCATGATTCAATAGTCAGGACATCTTAATGCATAAATTATAGGTTTAAAGATTGAAGTTTGAAGTTTGGAGCCAATTCATTGAACTGTGGAGGCTTTCAATGCTGTCCTTCAAAATTCTTCAGCTCACGTGAGATATATAAATTTGATTTTAATTTAAACCGAACTTTGACATATAGTTGATTCATGACTATCCAACTTACCACAAAAGTATGAGTTTGGTGAGATGAAGAAACTTTGTCATCTTTGTTCAGATGCAAGAAATGGATGAGTTTCTTCCTCCTAAATTTTAGGAAAAATTACATTGTACCACTCAATTCTCATGTATTTACATGTCTGATGACTACAAATTTTAATTTTTACATATATGCCGCTTTAACTATGCATGAAAAAACTATATTTCACTTTTTTACAAGTTAAAATTGCGGCCTTTTTGATGTGATATGAAATATTTGATCGGTATATATATATACATATATAAGTAAAAAAGCAAGGTTTATGTGCTAGATATATGAATAGATTGAATTTGGGTGGTATTTTTGTAAATGCCCCTAGATTTTATGAAGCTTTGGGCATGGACATCAACTGGGCAAACTGAATATTAAGTATTAGTCCCACATTATTTTAATATAATTATAATTATATTTTCATTACAATTTTTATTATCATATTATTTAAATTAAAATTATCGCTGAATATCTGACTAAAGAAAAATACTAATAAAAAAAGTAAATACATGGCAATTGTAAGGTGTTGTATGCATGTAAATCCCCTTAAATTTTATGTAAATATTTGTTTAATACCCCTAAAGTTTATGACATGAAAATGTTTTTTGCAACAAGCAACGACTATTGCATAACAGTTTGGGAAACACTTTATACTGTGAACACCTCAAGTCTGTTCAGTTGACGTACATTTTATCGAGTCAAATTAAGTGAACCAAAATCCCCTAAATCACCTAGAGAAATTTGAAAGAACATGGTGAGGTATATTAACTTAAAATTATTCGTGTAAAGAGCATCCACCTGCCGCCTGCCGCCACTATCGCCAGTTGCCTCCCCGTCATGGTCACATATGCCACCACCGCCAGTCATCACGTCGAACTGTGTGCTAGCCCGACATTACTGGATTTATTTTACATTGAATTCATTTTTCTTCAAATCAAAGAAATGAAACGTAAAATCCAACATTTATTTTACGCTAAATCAAACTCCTCTAAATTATTTCAAATACAATATATTATTTCAACGCTGCATTACTTTTTCGCAAAACCAAACATGCTCTTTAGAATGTTATAGAGTTGTTTGATTTGCTATAAATTAAATACAATAGATTATATTTTTATATTTAGTTTGAAGAAAAATGAAATCAAGAAAAAAATGGAGGGGGGAAGCGATTACTAGAGACGGGAAGGAGAGGCGGACGACGGATGATGATGATGGGCGACAAGCAGCAGTGGCGGTCGATGGCGATGCAGATAGGAGGGGACCGTGGCGATAGGTGGTTGGCGGTGGTGACCAACGATGTCGACTGGCTGTTGTCGATCATGACAAGGACAAGCAGCAGCACTGTTTGGCGATGGCCAACATTGGCCAATTAATGACAGGAACAGGAGATCTGAAAATCACCTAAATCTGACGAATTAAGAATATATACTGAAAATGAACTTAAAAAATGCAATATAATTGAGACCAACTGCAACAGTGATGCTCTGAACTTTGAATAACTGCTCATTCAATATAATAATTTGCAAGGCATAGTATAAATGACGTTTGCTCATGTATGAACTCGCCTCTCTCATTCATTTTGTATTTTTCTTATAGCTAAAATAATATCAGACTTTACCAATTCAACAGAGAGCAATTGCATTGATTAACACTTGCAAACTTCACTATTTACAAAACATTACAATTGACAGAACTTTACAATGCACAAAATGGCAACTAAAGTGACATTTTAAGGTGACATTGCGCTTAACACTTGTTGCTGCAGTTTTTATATGTATAAAAGAGTAAAGGGGCATTTCATACAAACCACATAATTCTTATGTATTTACATATTTAACACCTAAATTTTCATATTTACATGCATAACAAGCTCAAATGTTCAATATAACATCAAAAATATTACTATTACTCAACTTTTTAATGATGAAATATATATTTTCATGCATATGTTTATAACACTACTGTTATCAATCTAGATATGAAAGTTGAGGCGTTAGATACATATAAATACATAAGAATTGTGTGGTATGTATGTAACTTGAGTAAAATATGCATCAAGAAAAACAGTAGACAAAAGTATATATGCCCCAAATTCCAAATTATTATTACAAAAGTAAATATGAAAAAACCTACACTAACTTAAAAATAAAAACAAGGCCCATAAAATCACATAAAAGATAGCTGACAGAAAGCTTCATCACCTTTGCAATGCAAGATAGCTAAGTCCAATAATGCTAACAGCAAGGATCCCAAAATGCATGATAGACATAAATATATCAGCAATGATAGATTCAAGAAAAATATCACCATAAACATTTAATAATTTCGTAGATGTAATGTGTGTGAAGCTCCAATTAATACTTCTTGATAAAAAGCTAGGGATATAATCCACATGGTTTCAACTTGCATAATATGTATTTATTAATAAACAAATAAACTCATTAAAGAGAAGTAATCCACATGGTTTCAAGGTTAATCCGGATAAATTGTGTACTTTTAAGCCAAATAGTGAAGTGGGTATTCTTCAAGGTATCTATCAATAATAACTCCAAGGAAATATTGATATAATATAAATTTCTAAAAAAGTTTATTTTAATCAATTTTAAAATCATGAAACTAAAAAATTTCATTAGGCATTTAATTATGAAATTGTTAGTGATCTATCAACTTCAATAAACTAGTAACTCAAACTTTATTTCAAATAAAGCTTATCTGGAATTGAATGGATTTCAACAAGCTATCTTTGGTGAAAATAGGCTATTCAAAATTAACACAATCCTAACTGTATGTAAGAACAGATATAGAGGTCTACTCCATTAGACATTTGGCCTCCTCAAGATTCTCCCAAGTTCTCTTGGATGGTTTGGGGCTGCTAGCAGGTTTTGGAATGTTAGAGATTTGTTGATTCCATAAGAAGTATCAATTCTTAACATTTTACACTTTATCCACTACGATATCTAACTTATTCAGGGTTGAAAAAGGTGAAACAAAGAACCAAGGCATTTTTGTTGAGTGAGGTGAAGTGTAAGCTCTGAATGGTTAAAGACATAAGCCTTAAATGAATTCATATGTCATGAGCCATCGACAAATTATTTCAGTTCATCATACACAAAATTACATTATAAGAAAAAGAATGCAAACTTTAATCTTAAACCTTAACCTAAAGTGAAGTATGAAATAAGATTCAAAATAAGCACTCAATTATAATTTCAACATCTCATGAGGATTGGGAGCCAAAATATTCTATACAAAAAGATAAATATTTATTGAAAAGAACAAAAAAAACTTCTATAGCCTTCATGTAGTAGCAAAATAACCATGGCCTTCACGCATGCAAAACCCCCACTAGCATGCAAGCAACCCTACTCATCATTTGCGCACAGACAATGTCACCAAACTAGAGCGCTCTCTCTTATTCCAGTCTCACAATTATAACATAAAATTTAATCTAAGAAATAAAAGTTATATTATTAAGTATTTAATATAACAAAAAAAAATAATTTTATTAGGTTTTGAATCGAGGCATCCAGCCTCAGATGTATGTCAAAGCATAAAATTTCAATTCAAATAAAACAAGCATAAACCTTGCCCGGGTCTTAAATGCATATGCCGCGAGGTGATTTCTAGATGCTTCAAGGTCTCGAATGCCTTTTTAAACTATCCGACTATTTTATGGGCATGATTCAGTCTAAAATTTTAGCTCGAGTTTAAACCATGCTTTTAAGGTTAAGATAATTAGGTTGACTAAGCGGATTCCTATGATTTAAAAAGTCAGTTTACAGTCTAGGCTAGGCTAAGTTCCCTACATAATCAAGGATAGATCCCAAATATGAAAATTAGGTTAAGTTCTATTTTATATGGTTGATTAGGATGGATTGTTGACTAGAAAGGTTGACCATATGCTTCCTCATCAAGTCCACTAATAGTATGTTTGTTTCGGTTGTGGCTGTATTAAATCTCAGTTCATAAGCTGTTGTGAAAAATCTGTTGTTTAAAAGTTGGTGTTCTAGAAGTAGTAGACCTGTTTGAAAAATAAAATTTTTAAAATGTATTTTGTGGATAAATATCTGAAATATCAGTCTACTCATATTATATAGAATTCATAGTTTTTACAGATGCATGTATTTCTCATATTCAATTATATTATTTAAACAGAAAAAAATAAAAAAAAGTAAACTCAGTTAAATTGTAGATTCAAGAATTGCAAGAGATAATGAGAGGGACAAAAACAATCATTAAGGATAAAGTGATTTGATCATCCAATGAACCCGTGCAATCAGGTTTAGACAATAATTTATTTATTTGTTCCTTCCTGATAACATATAAAGGAATACAAGTTATTAATTATGATTACTGGCTATATTAACAAAATTAGATATAAGTTAGGGGCTTTTACATACATTACATACCACCCAATTCTTATGTATTTACATATATAAAACCTACTTGATTTGTTTACATTTATATCATCCAAATCATTCATATCACATAAAAAAAATCATCATTTTAATTAAAAAAAAATGAAATACATCTTTTCATGTATAACTAAGGTGACCTGTTAAAATTTGGGTATTCAATATGTAAATATATAAGAAGTGGGTGGTATGTATGTAAATATAATGCCACATTAACGTCAAAACAGATGATTGGCTTTATATCAACATTTTTTTTTTATAATTTTATTTTGCTAAATTAAATTTAATCTAATGTCCGTTTTAAAATTTCATGGAACTTGAGCAGTCAGTATTTTTAAAAAAGATTCTAAAAAACACTACACCTTTACCATAATTCATGAGATCACTATTATTTGGCATTCCCTGTGAACGAGGCGTAGGTGAAACTGAAATCGAAAAAAACCAAAAAGCGGATGCTGGGAGAGGCTTGCGGTCGTGAATCCTAGTTTTCTACTGCGCGGCAAACACATTGTTCCGAAACAAACTTGCAATCAGACGACAAGAAACGCGGTTAAACCGTAAACGTGGTCCGAAAAGCCAAAAACAAACGCACAGTAAGTTGGAGTGGGGTAAAGTTGCCAAATGTTTAGACAAGTTAGTTGGCTAATGGGTTAAATATGTTGTATGGACTAGGAATGACTAGGAAAGGCTTTAACCTATGAATCAAAGGTTGACTCACGATGGGCCTACAACAAGTTAGGGTAACAAAGAACTAAGGTCAAGATCTAGGTTTAACCATATTGGGTGTATAGAGCACATTAAGAGATGACCAATAGAAAATGATTTAAAAGCTAGACAACAATTTGAACTTGGACAACATGAGATCGAAGCTGTAGTAGTAGGCCTTTTAGAGGTAGTTCAGGGTGAGGTAGATCAGTCTTTATTTTGGGTTGTGTGTAGAAGTCGGCAAGATGGTTTTGGGTCAGATGGAGTGCTCATGAGGCTAGGTTGAGCACAATAGCATACTAAGGTGTACTAAGGTATGCTAGATTAAGCTCAGCTGAGCGCTTCATGGGTTAGTTAGTGCCCTAGAGTGTTCTTGAAGTACACTAGAGTAGAGTAACCTTGGTCAACCAGAAGATGACATGGAAAATTCCTGGGTAGAGTAAGACGGAAGTTTAAAGTTGAGAGGAGTCACAAGATTTAATGCAAGATGAAGACATTAACAATGACGTCAGTAAAAGATTAGACAAATTGTCACAATCAAGTCTTATCTTCTTTTTTTTTTTTTTTTGCCCTCTAATTTATTGCCTGTATGTTTAAAAATGAAAACACGATGCTAACTACTAGTTGTTCACTTTATTGCATGATATATTGAAAAGCTTATATTACATAAAATCATGAAGTGCCCCTCTAATTGATACTCTAGCAGATCTTAAACGATCATTGATTTTATATGAGGATTATAATCGCATAATTCAACAAAGTTGAAAATATAAATTTTAGAACAAAAAATAATAATTTTACCATCAAGAGTTAGTTCACAATCTCTACAATCCAGATAGCAAAGGATGTTTGTCTCCAATATCCATGGCATTTTATGACAAAAGATAAGAGGGGCATTTACATACATACCACCAATCCTTATGTATTTACAGAACACCTAAAGTTTATATTTTACATTTAAATTTAATCCCACCAAAAATTTTTTTCCAAAAAAAAAAAAAAAAAAAAAAAAAAAAAATCATACATAATTTTAACTTTTACAAAGTGAGAGATGCCTTTTTCATGCATAGGGAATGTGGTATGTATGTAAAAATTGAAATTTAGTTGTTAACGTGTAAATACATAAGAATTGTTTGGTATGCATCTAAATCTTTAAAGATAAAAACAAAAGACATGTTTTTCCCTTACCGTCAAATAAAATGGCACAGCAGGAAGAACCCACTCAACTCACAGCCTCTGCTTTATCATCTTCTTCCTCCTTGCATGCAACAAGCCTCCCTTCTGAAAGTTCACATAACTGGATCCCTAACCCCAGTTGCCTGCGCAGCTTTTTCACCACAAACACCTCTGGCTCTTCACATATTGTAACAACAGTACCTTTCCTGCCAAGTCTTCCAGTTCGACCTGCTCGGTGAGCGTAGTGAACCGAATCTGTAGGAAGATCCAAGTTCACTATTAGATCACAGTCTGGCACATCCAATCCCCTAGCTGAAAGCTCATTTGTGGCCAATACTCGAATATTACCATCCTTAAAATTTTTTAGGGTGGTTGTTCTTAAGAGTTTGCTGAGGTTTCCATGTAATTCAGCTGCCTTTATTCCCCTTGCTTCCAGTTTAAAAACAAGGTCCTTCAATGGCTTTGTGTGGTTCATGAAGACAATGACCATCTTTGCATCCAAAGCATGAATGCATCTTCTTAAAGTGTCAATTTTGTGCTGTGCCTTGCTAACACAGTAATAATGATTCAAACCAGGAGGCAAGCTTCCAATGGCAGCTTGAGTTACTGAGTTTTTAGTGGCCGAAGCGGAAGCTATTGAGCTAACTCCAGAAGCAGAGAGGGAATCCAAAGAAACAACACCTTTGGCTCTAACCAATAAAGGATTTGTTCCCCAGCTTCTTGCCGCTCGTACAACAGAGAACGGAACCGTTGCCGATACCATTATGGTTTGCCGCTCCGACCACTTCGCCAGTGGACCGAGAACAATAGTCGAAGCTGCACCAGGCTTTCTTCCAACATGTTCGAGTATTCTATGCATGTCTTCTCGATAGTTGAAAGACAAGAGCTCGTCAACTTCGTCGAGAACCAAAAAACGGCAACCATGAGTGTGAAGCTTTCCGGCTGCTGATATCTCTGCGATGCGACCAGGGGTTCCAACGACAATAAGCGGTTTATTCTTCTTCAGAGCTTCTTCCTGCCTTGAACGGTTTGCACCACCAACAAGCTGCTGAACAAACCTTTTAAGCGGGGGACCAAGTAATCTCTCCACCTCTCTAACTATCTGCATGCCCAACTCTCTTGAAGGAGCAATAATGACTGCTTCTATGCCATGCTTTGGGTTAAATTCAACTTCTTCCTCATCATTAGGTTCTTTTAAAGGACCAACCAAGGAAAGAATGGGGAGAAGGTAAGCGAGAGTCTTTCCAGAACCGGTATAAGATTGAATGACAACATCATGTTTTTTTATAATCGTAGGAATAGCAGCACACTGGACTTCAGTAGGTACATTCAAACCTTCTTTCTCTAGTTGTTTAATGAGCAGAGAAGAAATACCAAGCTCAAAGAATGACTTCGCAGCGAATGGTGCTTGTATTTCAACAGAACTTTTCATAGTTCTTTTTATTTTGTCCGACGAAACTCTCAATGCTATGTTTGATTTTCTAGGTGAAAAAGTTTTCTCTTTCTTTGGAGTCTCAACTTCACAGTTAAGGGCAAAGCTTGAGAGAGAAAGTGGCTCATTGTTACGATCATCTCGTCCCTTCAACAAAGAATTATGATGTAGTTTAACTCTGTTATGTATAGATAATCCACCAAAGGAAGGGCATTTTCCATGAAAGCTACACAAACTTGTAGATGAAAATGCAAGCAACCTTCTATGTGTATGTCCAATTACTGCTTCCATTGAGAACTTAGCATCCAATGAATCACTGGAACCCTTTCTAAGAACCAACATATTTCACAATTTTAGTGAAATTCTAAGAAAAAAACAAAAGCTAAATAATGCATGCAAAAGAATTTACATTCTTGAATGAAAAATCATTAGGAAGTATTAAGACAAATAAAAACTAGTATTCCTCCATTCAAAGGTTGCATTGCATCAAAAAACAGGCTCCTCACATGAAAAATAGTGCGACCGCATAAGGTTCGCGGTGAGCTCAGTATGTTCCAATTCCTGTTAGTTGTTAGCCTGAAATCTTCTTGGTAGAATCAATTCAGTTATGAGTTCCAGGAAAAAGCTGAAGTTGAGGAATTTCATTTACAAAGTTTAACAAAGTTAAAAAACTATTTTGCATCCAAGACAAGTCTATTCTTATTCTAGAGTCAGCTAAATACCAAACACACAAGTATTTCTTCTTTACTTGAAAAACATAAAGAGCTCTACAAACTCATAACTTAAAGAGCTCTACTAACTCCAGATCATTTTCAGGACACAAATCTAAGTTGCCTGCGTGATTAAATGAAAAGAAATAAAAAAGTCTATAAATAAACAATAAAATAATTTAATTAACCCTTCCCGCCTGTTGAAGCCCGCTCGAATGCGTAGTAACTCCCGCTTCTACTGGGTTACAAGCAAACGAACCAAGGGTAATGCCATTCATTCGCTCGTTCCCCGCTCACTTCAAAAGAACCGTTCGAAGCCACCAAAATCCCTCTCCATTTTGTCGTCCTTCTGTTCGAAATCCACACACACAACAAAAAGGTAAAGCTCTTACTTGTATTTCTTCGTCGTTTTTTCTTCTCTGTGCGCACATTTCGTCTCCCTGCCTCACTCACGACGAAACAACCGAAGCCTACACCGAAGACCTTTGCTCTGTCGCAATCTCCGCTGTTGTACTTCACCACGCACAGGAAATACGCTCGAACCTTCTGTCTCTTCCCCGACCCCGTCTCACGCACGATTCCCTCACCTCACTGTAGCAAACGCATTGTCAAAGGCCTCGCCATATTTTCGAAGCCCTGTCCGCCAAATTTCTCACCGAGACCCAACCTCTTGCCTCCTGAGCCACGCGCGACTTTCCTTCTACGCTAGCCTTGCGCTGATTTGTGCTCCTCCTTGCCGCGCCTCCCAAGCAGGCGATTCACGCGATCCTCTGCCCTAGCCCTCACGATTCCGTAAGCTTGCCCTTGCCACACCTCCGTCCAAAGTTCCTCGATTCTCACCCGGATTTCCAATTTTAACAATAGACCGGATCACTCAATTTTAGAGGGAAAATATTTGTGTCCAGGGGTTATATCGGGGTTATACCCATCTGTAACCCCCTATAATCTCTTTGTAAACTACCTGTAACCTACAAATAAGTTCCGCGCTTCTTTAATTTCACCGGTACAAATAAGTTACACGGAGGTTACAAGTGAGTTACACGGAGGTTACAGAGGGGTATAACCCGGATATATAACTCCCCTGTATCCCTTGAATAACCCCTGACGCACGCAGCGCTGCGTACGTCTTATGCACATAAATATTTTCCCTCTAAGCGTTTGAGACAGCTTAGGCGTTTCAGGATCAGCTGCTTATTCGGCACGAAACCTGCGTTTAGTATAAAAACCTAAACGCGATTTCAGATAAGCTGGCGAAACGTGCGAAACAAATGGTAAGACGATGTTTTGAAAACGCTTTTTTAAATGACGCCCGAACTTATAAGCTGCCCCCAAACGGGCCCTAAATTGAGTGATCCGGGCTATAATGAAAATTGGAAATCCGCAGAGTTCGAGCAAGAATCGAGAAACTTTGGACGGAGGTGTGGCAAGGGCAAGCTTTCGGAATCATGAGGGCTAGGGTAGAGGATCCTGTACCCCCTGAAGATGTGGCTAGGGCAAGCTTTCTGCAAGTATATTGAAGACCCATCGCACTTTTGAGATCGCAGGTTAAATATTTTTTTTATTCCCTGATTGTAGTGCCTTGTGATACTGACTAACGATTTTTGAGATAATTGGGAATGTTGACACTCTCCCGTGCCCCCCTAACGAGGGTTGATGTCGAAATTTTGAGTGATTTGAAATTATAATTAATTCAAAATCATTAAATTTTTGAACTTGCAAATATTATTAAATATTGAATTATTTGGACTTTGAAATGATAAAATAAGGGAGATAAAGAAAACATGAATTGTGAATTAAAAGCTAACATAATCTACAACATTATTATTCAAGTCATTTCAAGACAATAAATTTATTTATAGTAGACATATAGATGCTTGTGAATAATTTGATAACCCACCAATTAATGGGATTAGACTTTTTTTTTTTCCTTTAAATTCAATCATAATTGAAGAAGATCAAATAAAAATATATGTTCTAATATAAAATAATCTTTATGTGATTTATTTAAAACATAAATTGGGGGCAAGCTTGATTGGATGAAGCTTAGGGGGGCTGGCAATTGAATTAAATATGAAATATCAAAATTTGGGAGCTTATGAGCTTGCTTAAATGTTAAATATCATAAATTAAGGTTAGATTTAAGACACAAATGTTATTTTTAAATGCTGAAAAAAAATTAATATTTTAAAATCCAACAATTGGATTCGCAACGTGTCTACTAGCAAACAAAGAAAGACCCTTTTAAAGCCTAATATGGAATTTTGTTTAATTCAAAAAACTCTAATATTGCAAGCATGTAAAGTTTTGAATGATCTCATATACCAATCTTGGGGATTGCTTCTAAGTTAAATGTCATATTTTGAAATTTGTATTTCTAAAACTTATATGAATAATAGGCCGAATACTCTAGAGCTACAACTGCTTCAACACACTTAAGCAAATAAATCAATTATGCAAAACTTTAATATTTTGCATAGTTTAAATGATCGTGTAAATCCTTAAAGTTACCAAAAATCTTCTAAGTTATTCAAATATATAAAGTTAAAATTATACATGTTTTCCAACCAATATATGGAATGCTCAAATACTAAGTTCGAAAATGTTGCGTGGGCAAATCAGACAGCCTTGTCCATAAGATATGGTCGTTAGCCACATTTAACTAGTTTGATCATCCTCCTTGCAAAGACTAGAGTTGGCGAGTCTAGTAATTTTGAAAAAAATGTTAAATTCTTAAAATAGGAATTAAAAACTCCAAATCACCTAGCCCGATCCTCCCGCCTATAAGGATAAGAGTCAACAAGACTTATACTTTGAAAATTTTAAACTAACACAACTAAATGTCCCATTTTTTAAATATAAACCTTTAAAATGTTCAAAATACTGATGATGGTCGTGTTGATCTAGGGTTTCAACCGGAGACATCTTTTAAATCAGAATTTTCGAAATAATCAACTAAATTTCAAGCTAAATTTCAATCACTTAAAAGCTAAAAGTGAAATTTATTCGTCCTCCGCAACAGTTTGTCGAGACTGACAAAGTTTTGATTGACTTCAACTCATAGAGAGCAAATGTCATATCAAATGCACATATATAGTCACAATCAAAACAATTGCATGTCAGTAAAGATGTAACCCGAGTTCTCTGTTCATGTGGTTTTGTTGTCAAAGGATACCATAAAATAACAGTTACGACTAGAACCTTCTAACAGGGTGGTTGCTGCCAAATGACACCATTAAATTACAGTCAGAACTGCAACCCATGATTGCTGACAGGAATACATCTGTTGGGCTGGGTCAACTACCTCCTCTGACTACTTAGATTAAGAACCATGACGATCTAAGACAATGAAACTATGGGATCTTGATCGGGTTTCGTCTTCATTTCCCCACCATCAGCTTTAAGCTTCAAGTGATAGACTTTATAATTTAAAATATTATATGTTTACTATTATTATATGTTGAATATTCAATTCACCTTTGTCAAAAGAAGGTAGATACTTGAATGGCTCAAAAAACACCACTTTTGAACATAAATTATATGCTTTTATGCTTTAATTTTTAAGAATAACAATAGAACTGCATGCTAGAAATCACCTTTAAAGCATAGTTCGTTTAGTATAGACCTCTTTTTCAATTTCTTTCAATAGACATTCCTTAATTTTTTTGTTTCTAATAAGCAAATGCTTGTTTTAATTGTTGGTTTTTGAATGCGCTAATTTAAAATTTGGAAGGAGTGATTAGACATACATATAAGAATTGTTGTTTTATGGTTTTTTTAAAATGGTTAGCCTATAAGAAATTTGCATCATGTTTATAATTTTTTTGTTGACTTACAATATTTACTTGGTACTTATATTTTAAGTTCATTATGTGCCAACATGTCTAAGGCGAATGAAGGGAGTCCGTCTGCTATGTGGGATAAAGAAGTAATAAATATTTTTTTGTGATCAATGTATTAAATAAATAGAACTGGGAAATAGGTCAAACAAACATTTTAATAAGGAAGTTTGGCAAAATATTACGAAGAAAGGTTGACAAAATATTACGAAGAGGTTTAAAGAATTGACTGGTAGGGATTACGACGGACTAAAATTCAAAAACAAAATGAGACCAATTGAATAAAGAATGAAAAATTTGGAAAGAGCTCAAATATATTATTTGTCATTAACAGTGTATTTCATAACAGGAAAATACAATTTGGTTGATTTTGGATATCCTATGCAGAGAGGCTATCTGAAGCCATATCCAGACACTAGATACCATATTCCTGATTTTGAGAGAGCAAATGACACTATCTGTGGTAGAAAAAAAATGTTTAATAAACATCGCTCCTCTTTACGCGAGGTAATTGAAAGAACATTTGAGATTTGGAAGAAGAAATGGGTCATCCTACGTGATATGTCGTCATATCTATTTCCAAAGCATTTCAAAAGCAGGTGCATATTGTGGTGGCAACAATGATACTTCATAACTTCATCTGAAGACATCATTCACGTTCAGATACGAACTTTAGTATGGCCGGTAACGATCAACTGGATGTCTTTGAAGAACCATCAGCATTTGTGGTTGGGCCTTCAGTCAATGAGGATGAGATTGACTCTAATAAATTTGGGGTTCATGACGTTGAGTGTGTGGCTGAGATGACTGCTTTGAGTGAGTCAATCACAAATGTTATCTATGACAGTTGATCCACCAAGCCTTCTTTATTTCGTACACTATACGTTTATTTTCGTCTGCATGTTTTTTTGTTGTTTTTTTTTTCAGGATCTAACAATTTT